GCCTGGGCTGCCGGCCAAAGCCCGCGTGCGCACAGACGGGTCCGGCTCGTGCCCGGCGAGGACGGGACCAGGAGCCGGCCCGCACACCTCCAAACACACCTGCTCACTTACTCTTCTGCACTTCTCTGCTGTAATCATTAGGTACTCTCTTCCAGGGGCACTTGCGAGACTTCCTGTGTACACTGCAGCTACTTTACCATTCTTTGTTAGCACAGCTACTGTTACCAAAATGTTGTCCATATGGCAGAGGTAAATGCACTACTGCAGTGAGGGCCACCCTTCTAGGCAGACGTGCCACTAGGTAAGCCCTGCACCCTCCCTGAATGCCACTCCCGATCCCCTTCTCCCCAATCTGCAGCTGTGTTGCCTTCCCTGTCTGTCTCGGGCCACATGCACAGGGTGCTTGTGTCACTTGTGGCATGGGTACTGTAGGATGGCAACCCCTATACTACCGTACGGCTTTTCCTAGCACAGATTGCAATGCACAGGATAAGACCCTCCTATTTCACTTGATTGCAGCTAAAGATAGTAGGATTCTCCCTTTTGATCAGTGCTTCTTAACCAGGGTGTGCCTTCAGATCCTTTCAAGGTGCTGCAGGGTGGTGCGCTTAGGTGTCTGAACATGGTTGACAAGATGAAGCTAGAGATTTCAAATAGGAATCAACAGTGTTAAAAACATTGACATATGTGGCCTTTCCGAGTTCTTTGCAACGTTATTTTTCTCTAATCAAAATGAAAACGTGTGTGAACTATGAGCTGGCATCTTCTGAGCGGTACCTTGAGTCTAAAAAAGGTTGAGAACCACTTAGACATGAGGGAAAGAACTAGTTGAAAAGTAGCTCCCTCTCTGACCACTAGAGGTTGCTATTAGATGACATGGGGAAACTGGGGAGAGCAGGAAGCTTCCTTTCTCTCCCCCACTTTTGCTGCTTGTATTGGACAGATAGGCGAGCTGTATCAAGCCTCTGCCCATGATAAGACTTAACAGCTATGTCTGGAGTGGTTTATCTCCTGTTCAAATGTGTCTATTTTGGTCAGTGACAAGTGGAAGAATCTAATGCTGTTTCTGAAGACTTTCCTTCCTCCTAAAGCTGTGTAATTGCTTTTTCCTTCATTGCTCCACTGGAAAAATCCTGTTGTCCCTGATAACTTCAAGGATTTTTTTTTGTGTTTCTTTGTGACAAATCTATAATAAAGTGGAGGAGGGAAAACCCTATGCTAGCTACAGCACTTGAACAGTAAATTTTAATACTTTGAAGTATGATCTTTAAGATTTGACTTATGACTTCCTGGTTCTAATATTTTATTTGGTTTGTTTGTTTTAAGAACATAGGGTTGAGTCTTACATGCACTAAACCCATTTTGAAGCGACCAGTGATGTACGAAGTAGGGCCAAATGAGTTTACATTAGGATACATGGGAAGCAGTCTGGTATAAAGTGAACATTTTAACAACGTAACTATGTTAGAATAAATGATGTACAAGGGTAAGCACCTTTTTATACTAATTCTAAATGCATCTCCATTAAGGAGGGTGGGTGGCTGTTACTACTTAACTGTGTTGGTATACTTAAGTTGGGGAGAAAACTTAAGGAATTAACACATGAGAATGGGGCCTGTATGTTTAATGAACATTTTCATTCTTGATAATTCAACCTTAGCTCTGGTGACTTTGTCTTTCAAAATAACTTTTTTCTTGGTTCTCTTCATTTTCCCTCTAAGACAATCTACTAGCATCAAGATATTGCTAAACTACTCCATACCCTTCTCTCCACCTTTTGACACTGGGGCCAGAAATAGATGTCTCTGAATTAGGTGCATCAGCTGTGCAATGATGTGTTGTGGCACAGCTTTTCCACTTCATTGGGTGAAACACATTGCCCCTCATGCCACCTTTGTGGGACAAAGGGTGATATGATCTCTGCACTTTCCCTGGGCAGCCAGAACCATCCGCTGCCATCACTGGGGACAGGTCTGACTGAGTGGGGAAAGTGGGTTTTCCCCCACCCTGCTCAGATCCATACTCCTCCACAATCATTGGGGATGACTGAGCAGGGAAAGCAGGGGCTTTTCCTCACCCTACCAGACCTGCTTCTGTGTGATGGGGGAGGAGAGAAAAAAATGTCTGGCTGAGTGGGGAAACCTGACTTCCCTGCTTATAGAGGGGGACCATGAGATTCCCTGGGTGCCACTCTAGGTGGGGAAAGCAGGCAGCTGCCCCTAGGCTTGAGGGTTGCTTGCACTCTTCTGCCAAAGGGGTAATAGATATACACCGCAATAAAGTTGCAGTCTATTATCATCTCTTGTTATGCCATGGATTTTTTTTTTCCTTTCATGTTGGGGGGAAAAATATGTGAAAAACATTTTTATGGCTGCACAACTGAGACATCAGGCAACATCTGTTTCTACCCTGGGACTCTTTGGGAATTTGCACTGCACTGGCTGTAAACTGAGAGTAGATTTTTTTTTCTCCTCGTTTCCTTACTAGTTTTTCCAGCATCTTGTGGTGAAAGAGTTATCTAGGCATTTTTCTCGCTATATGCAGGTTGAAACAGTAATCGTGACACTTGTGACATAATGTGAAACAAGGGTAACCCTGACCTATATCCTCTGCTAGTGGTAAAAGAAATATACGGACTTTGACATGGTTTGAAGACTATAGACAGTGACTGCAAAGACTCTTAAAGAGCGGGTAGATCACTTCTTTTGGTGGTTCTGAAAATAGGTCTCTTCTGGCTCACGACCTGGATGAAATGCTATCTGTGTCGGTACTTTTGGCAGAGACAAAAGGCCTCCAACAAAACTAACGAAGACTCTCTGGCCCTCCGTCTTGAGGCTATTTAAAAGGCAGCTGCTGCAGCTCATGGTGGTGCAGACCCGCACTGACACCTCGAAAGGCAGAGGTCCCAAATGCAGGTCTCGGCTGGCGGATCCGAGCGGATATAAAGCTGTTGCAGAACAAGCTCTTAAACCCGACCCTTGAGACGACCGCTTCAGAGCGATTGCTGGCCACTGCCCAGGAAGAGGAAAAAAGAGGCCGTTAACCTCACCGTGTCCGTAGCGGTTATTCGCACTATCCTCCTCTTCCACGTCTGCGACAGTTGGGCGGCTTTCTCCTTGCTTTGTTTTTCAACTTTCTTTTTTTTTATGTGACTATCGTAGGGTAACAGCAGCATGTGGTGATGCCGACCTTTCTGGGGCTGGGGTATAAACCTTTTGGTAAGGCATCAGCTAAGCCTAAAAAAGACCAGCTCTTATCCTTTCGCTCTCATAATAGCAGTCATTCGCTCTCCTGCTCTAGTCTTGCCGAGGAAGAAACCTCCCGTCATAGCATATAGCAAACTTATTTTTAAACGTGCGTTGCCTATCCACTGCTTCCACGGGGCTGCAGCACTCGAAAATGGAAGAAGAAAAGCTGCCTCCCTTTACGGCAGCGGTTCCCGGCCTCGAGGCCTCCCTCAGAAACCGGCCATTTACTACGGAAAAACGGTAGAGCACGTCTTCGGTCCTAAGGGAGTCGGCAAGGCTGCTGCAGGCTTTAAACCCAGTGGTTTCCGAGAGGAGTCCACGGCGTTACCTGGTCTGTGGTTGTCTGCTGCGCTGCGCAAGCAGGCACCGCGCCGGGGTCGCTCGACCACAGTTATCTTTAGGGGCTGGACCCGGCGACCCTTCCAGCCCCGGGCTGTCTGTAATCCCTGCTGCGGGGGCCCAAGCGTGTGGCGCTCAACGGCATTTTGCTTGGCACGCGTGCCTCGGGGTGAACGGCGGGCAAGAGGCTGGGACTACAAGGCAACAGCAAGATTTGGGCCCCTCGTGGCTCCCATCATCTCAAGTTGTGGGTGTTTTCGGCACTCTGCCCAAAAACGTTGCCGACCCCGATCTACGCAAGCAGGCCGTGGCTCCTCGCGGCCTCCCTCGAAAGGTGCGGGAGGCACCCCAGGGTGCTGGGGGCGACCATATGATGTGGTGGCTCGCAGGAGAGGAGCTGGTGCTAAGTAGGAGGGGGGAACCAAGGGTGAGCGGGGGCTTTGGGACTATGGCTTCCTGAGGGGTTCGTTAGCGGGGTCAGGCACTGTCAGACACTTCTCTTTATTTGGGGGGGGGTGGGTGTTGATCTCTATGGAGGGGAGGGTTGAACTGTGGGACACCACCGCGCTCTGAGGCGAGGCAGTTGGCTATGGCAGGCTCCCTCGCACCCCTCCCCTCTCAGGCAACGGCCAACCACAGGCCCCG